CCCTCTCACCCTTTCGCAGGATTCCAGTAATCAAGCCTTTTGTTCAACACACACACACACACACACACACACACACACACACACACACACACACACACACACACACACACACACACACACACACACACACACACACACACACACACACACACACACACACACACACACACACACACACACACACACACACACACCAATCTTGTCCCCCAACCCCCACAGATCAGCCCTACACTGTAGATCCGACATTCTACACCTCAAACACACAAATTCATTTACACACTGGGAGACAAAGGGGGTGTTTGCCACATCTGATCAGGCCCGCTTCACGGCCTTGGCAAACATGTGGGTGTCTGAGATCACAGAGGTTCAAGGCTTTGGTCCAGATCTGACCAGCTGTCTGCTCCATGTGGGGTTCATGAAAGAAGATGTGTTTTTATCACCTTGGTTACAACAAACAGCAACTAGATGGTTAAAGTTTAAGAAATGTGTTGATTCCGTGGGAAAGGGGTGAAATTCAGACAATTTATGTGGAAAGTGGATATTCGCTGATGTTGGGAAATCTTAAATCAGCAAGAAAAACAGAAAAGTTTCATTAGGTAGAGGCATGAACTTAATATGATAAGATTATAAAATTCTAAAAGCCCGAACCTTTAAAATTTAAAATCAGGTTTAAATCTTAAATTTAGTTGGGAAAAGATCAGTTTTTACTGTCTGTTAATTTAAACACTTTACAATTTAGGATTACATATTAAATTTACCTGAAAACCTACTCAGATGCATAAATTGTGCATTAGACTTTTGGGACTGAACTTTTAAACTTTAAACAATTTGATTATTTATTTTTTAATCATTAAATTTGCAAGAAAAAAAGTCCAAATTTAGGCCCACTGTTCTATACGTAACAGAAAAACACATTATTTAACTTGGATATTTGCAAAAGAAAAGTAAACTTTTTCCTAATCTTAAAGTTGTAAATGTAGAGAAAGGATATTCCCTTTTTATATTTGCTAAGTTGACATTTTTAAAGCCAGTTTTCCTTCTCAGAATTTTACCTCTCCTTCAGCTCTGAATTTTGACCCTAATGTGCTGCTGTAGTCATAAAAGACAGAAAATCACATAATAAATCAATTATCCATTTATCCAAAATAAATTAAACTTATTACTCAGTATAACATCCAATAGTTTTCTGTCAGCTTACCAGGAACCGCTGATTTACAGTCCTGCAGGATAATTTCACTAAAAATGCTAATTTTTTACATTCATGGTTTTTTTTTTTTTTTTTTTTACATTTTCTCAAATTTAATCTTTCTTATCTTCCAGGTTCTCTCTCTTGTACACCCCCCATTAGGACGGATATCCTTTAATAAACTCCCAAAGATCACCTGTTGACTTTTACAGTAGACGCCTCAGTTTAATCTGAATCTGACCCATTTCAAGCGTTTAACTGATCTAACATTCCTTCTTGACTCTATTCACCCCCCTTTTCTTGTCAATGTTTGTGTCTTCCCTACCCCTTCAACCCCCACGCACACACACCCATGTCTAAAGCCAGCCACACACCTTAGGTGTGTAGATTAGCTGTGCTGCACTGCACTGTGAACACAGTAGTGGGCTTGCTGTAAGCATTTAAAATGCAAATAGGGCGACACTGGGATCGGCTCCGGCAGTCTCTTACCAGCTGTGTGTGTGTGTGTGTGCGTGTGTGTGTGTGTGTGCGCGCGCGCAAAAGAATTTAAAGAAGCCCAGCAGTGTGTTTCATTCGTAAATTTAATTCAGCATCTTTGCGCAGGAAAACCAACTCGGTTTGGTTTTGCCCAAAATGAACCTTTTTTCATCAAAATTCAAAAGACAGCTGCTGTAATTGTTTTGATGAAATTAATTTTGTGTTTTCATGCTTTGATCTTTCAAAATTTTCAAGCTTCTCTGTCTATTTTGCACAAAACGTGTCGTCATCAAACCAGATTGTGTGGTTACTGGAAGGACATGGCAGGTAATCAGGCTACAACGATGTGGAATCTTGTTTTTTTGTGGAAAGCAGAGCTAAGTTTCACTAGACACGCCCGGAGCTGATTACTACCAGACTTGTCGAATTAGGAGATCAGGTCTGACAACATAGGCCATGAGTGTCCAAGCTTTTTAAGACAAAGGTTAAAATTTAAGTTTAGAGTCAGTGTTCAAATTACAGGGGAGCCCGAAATGGTGATGATCTCCCCCGAAGCCCTCAACTGACACACCCAGGGGGAGCCCAAGAAATTCACTCATAGCCTAGAATCTAGACCAGGGCTATTCAATTTTGGGCCTCGAGGGCCGGTATCCAGCACGTTTTAGTGGTTTTTCTGGTCCAATACACTTGTTTCAGTAGTTGAATCCCCTGTGCAGCATCATCAGGCTCTGCAGAAGCCTGTTAATCACCTACTAATTGAAATCAGGTGTGTTGAAGCCAGGTTAAAACCAAAATGTGCTGGATACAGGCCCTCAAGGCTCAGAATTGAATACCCCTGACCAGTTTGCCAAAGCAAAAGGATGGTCTAGGGTAGGTTGACCATAAGTCCTCTTTCCCCCGGATATGTCCACTTTTCACCCTCTGTCCGGGGCGTCCGGGGGGTGGGGTGGGGGTGCTTCCTGCATGGAATAAAATGACCGGTTTTTCATCCAGGAGCAGGGACTGAATTATGAGGACTAGACATCTTTCAGGGAAAGATCCAGTGTCTGGTACTGGTCCAATCACAGTGATCTATCTGTTTCGAGGGAGTTGGATCTTCTTCAACGTGTATGGCAGACTGTCGCATTGATTGACATCTTTGGCGGTCCAATCACAGCGCTCCATTGGTTTGGTGGGCCAATCACAGCACTCTGTTGGTGGGCAAGATGTCACTGAAAAAACAAAGATGGCGAAGACTTGTTTGAAACCGTTTTGACATCATCTTTGGACTATTTTGACTCGAGCCTTTCTTTGAGTCAAGAGCAGATAGAGGTACTTAAGTTTATTTAGAAAAAGAATGAATCTTCTTTGACGGAGTATGGCGAACTGCCTCGTTGACTGACATCTGTAGCGGTGAGTCAAATTGTTTGTTTGAAAAACAATTGTAGTCCACGCCCCATGAAGAGTCGTCAACGGCCCAGAGAGTTGCAAATGGCGCCCAGACCGCATTTTGGAGATACTCGCTAGGCTAAAAGATCTCAAAAAACAACACATCAAGCACAGATGTAAAGAAATCCAAGAAGAAAAGAAAAGAACCCAAAAAATCTAAACTGGTCTCACTTGGTTATGGACTGGTTGAGGTCAAAGGTCATGAATTAAACAATTAAAAAATCACTGAATACACAAGAACAGCTGTAGACTTCCTTCTACGTACCTTTTGACCCTGAACGTTAAAGCTTGGTTTATGCTTGACACGTCCACGAGGTTCGCGCGGCAAAATTGTGTCATATTAACAACCACGCCCCTCCACCGCACCTCCGCATGGCCCAAATTTTCCGTACCGCGCACCTAGGAAATTTTCTAACCACGCGGACAGTCGGACGTGGAAAAACATGGCGGACTGGCAAGAACTAATATGGCAGAGGTTCGTAAATACAGACATTTGCATGATTCAGCTCTCGGAGATCACCGTGATCAACATGTTGTTAACAATTCTTGGAGAGAAATAGCTAGCACTGTCAGAAAAGACGAGGACACTGTTAAAAAATGCTGGAATGCCATGTTGTAAACAACAGTAATTTTTACTTCTACTATGGTGTAGTGTTGGATGCATGCCACAGAGCTCCATGCTGCCCCCTACAGTTTGGGAGAATATTGGCTCACAGCAGAGACGAACCGCATGAACCATACACGCTGCAAGTTGTGAAGCCCTTTCCATCCGCGAGCCGCATCACCAAGCGGAAAGTAAATGCGTCAAGCATAAACTAAGCTTTAAGTCATCAGCTCAGCTGTTACCAGGCAACAAAAAACCTAGACCATCCTGGTTGTTCAGGTTCACTCTTTCTTGAGAGAGACAAAGATTAGTTTGCATTTTTTATTTCATGAACACACAACAGAGCTTTAAAGGTTACAAAGAAAACAGCTGAAATTAAAATGCCAAACATGAAGAAAATCAGGAAAAAATTGTATTTAATTTAGTTTAATTGAATAGTTTTGCTCAAACAAAGTATTCATCAGAAGCTAGAGCTCTGAATCTGTGAGCAAAATGCATTCACTGCACCTGTTGAGACAAACGAAGGTGTAGATCTCACGTTTTGGTTTGAATTCAGAGAAATTCAATTGACAGCATCAGCATCGGACAGAGGCGTACACCGTTGGCTCACAGTCCTGGACGGTCCCCTGTCAGAGCTGACGAGGAGAATAACCTCGGTGTAGATCACGTCGTCTGGATCCTACACACAAACATCTGATCAGAACACTCAGATAAAATATTGTTCTGAGTTTTAGGAGCCTTACATGGTTGCCGCTGATCGTATTGCTCGGCTTTGGCGCAACTTCTTGGTTTTTTGAAAGCAAAAATATGAATTGGTGTTTCAGTAAAAGATCACTCTTACATTTGTGTTAAAAGATCTCAGAAATAAGGATCAACAGACATGTTATAAAATATCTGTACTCCAATTCACATTCAAGTTAGCACATCCGCGTAGCTTCAAAGATCCATCCCAGGTCATAAAACAAATACCCATAATGCCTTGCATAAATGAATTACAGAGTGAATACTTCAGGGGTTACTAATATAGAAACCCTTTTAGCCCAAACACTGAAACTTAAATCTAGATTTATTTACACAACATGCAAATAACTCCTGCAATGTGATTCTTTTTACTGGATAATTATAAATTTTAACTATTTCAATGGGCTATATATATATATATATATATATATATATATATATATATATATATATATATATATATATATATATATATATATATATATATATATATGTATATATATATATATGTGTGTGTGTGTGTGTGTTTGTGTGTGTGTGTATTTATTTATTTATCTTTTTTAAATATTGGAGAGCATATTTTCCTGGTGGTGGAGTGTCCACCCTGGGACTCGGGGTTCAAATCTGGGTCAGGTCATACCAAAGACTTTACAAATTGGGCCAAATGCCTCCCTGCTTAACACTCAGCTTTAAGGGGTTGGATTGGGGGGCTAAAACACCAAATAATTCCCAAGCGCAGCCACTGCTGCAGTTCACCACTCCCCATGGGGCTGTGTCAAAAGCAGTGATGTAATTTCACCAGTGTGTGATGATGGCTAATGGACTTTATGTGCATGTTTGAGACTCTTATTGTGAAAGGGTAGTGATGCTGTGGCCTCTGCTGCAGTAAAGATGGATTTGACAAAATACTTTATTATTATTATTATTTATTATTATTGTTGTTTTAATAAAATTAAAATGACTTATCTTTTCAAAAAATCTTGTGATTAAACAATTTCTTTGTATTTTTACCTTGCAGTTTCCAAAGTGTGCTTTCAACAAAAACACATTCCAATTCCTGATGAAGGTCTCTGACCAAAAGCTTGACCAATAAACTCCTACATCGCAGATTGAAGTGTGCAGATTCTTATTTTGTTTATAACAAAAATACATATAAAATGCTAAATTAACAGAAACATATGAGTTAATGTTATTCTAAAGAAAGACTTTTGTACCTTTTGCTCTGCAACATGGATGTTTTATTTACACAAATAACACAAACCTCAAGGAGTTCTGCTGTGGGGTGAAGTTGCTAATGCTGACAGTTAGCTTCTACTAGTAAAGAAGTTATTTGCGGTTTCCTGAAAGCTAAACAAACAACAGCCTGCCCCGTGGCGAGCTAAGATGGATGAGTCCATGAATGTTTGGTGACAGTGTGACATAGATCTGTCAGGATTTTCAAATTCTAGCATTTCACCATTTATTTTCTGTCAGAAGCTAATGCAGGAGGCAGGTGTAGGAGACTATTTTTATGTTCAGCCGGCATGAAACACTCAAAGTGACCGATTATAATCAGAAATTTTCATTAACAATGTTTTTTTCAGTGAACCACGCCTTTGAAAAAGAAGAAATGTGAAGAATACGTGAGGATAATTTGTTCTTTCATGTCATTTGAAAATGTAAGCCAAGAGTTGAAATAATTAACTCTTCAAACATAAGAAAACTGTTCAAGAAAATGTTCAAAATCCAAAAACAACCTAAGATCTATTTAAACTCATTGAAAAAATGTACAAAAATACTTTCTTAGCAACCTTCAGTTGTGCTAATCTGTATGCAGACTTTCTATCAAGTTGTTACAAACCCCTAAAGGCCATTTTTGTATATGTAAATGTTTTTGTTCAGCACACACGAGCAAAGACATTTTGACTAAACAAAATATGGTTAAATGTTAGTGCTTTTTATGTCTTCTGGAGTCAAAAGGAAAGCCAAAAGTTAATCACATTGTTAAACCAATTAAATTTTTTACTGAGGATTAAAATCAACATTTAAGTCTTAGATTAAACTGTTTTTCATGATCGGTGGAGACTCCTTAGAACTGCAAAAAACATACATATGTACATTTGAGGAAATTAAAGGCAAAACATTTGTAATTTTTAACTGTTTCAACTCAGGTTCAATAAAATTTGACTAAAACAGAAATTTAAAAGGTTTTTATTGCAAGTTTCCTTTATCGTCAGTAGATGGCAGCACAGCCACTTGTTTCCTTTATTCCTAGACCATTTACTGTTTTTTTTTTGGACTCAACATGCTTTCTCTAATTAAGCTGCCCTATTATCTCACATTATATTAGCTGGCATTTAGCAGATGAGTTTATGGTTTCATCCCATAGCATTGTTAAACTATCCAATCATTCATCCTCGCATCACCTTACAGCAACCAGTGTGTATTAGCTTGTCTGGTTTCAAAATATTAAAATGAACCACAGAATAGACATTAATGTTAAGTGTTCAACCCAAATCAAGATGGCCTCTAGAGCTAAAAATAATTTCATCTGACTTCAGGTCAATGTGTTAAAATTTTTTGATTAAAATGTTTTAGAAATTGACTGCGCGGTGACACAGTGCCTTGCAGCAAGAAGGTCCTGGGTTCAAATCCTGGCCTGTGATCTTTTGCTTGTTCTCCCTGTACACACGTGGGTTCTCTGGCTTTATGGTCCAAAAACATGACTGTCAGGATGATTGGCCTCTTTAAATTGTTTTTGGGTGTGAGTGTGTGCTTGGCTGTTTGTTCTGTGTCTGTGTTGCCCTGGAAAGCTGTCCCGGGTGCACCCCACCTGTTTTCAGGAGGATATGCTGGAGATAGGCACCAGCTCCTCGCAGCCCTGCGTTGATAAGCAGGGTGGGTGGATGTCTAAGAAATATAACTGAAGTAATACAGAAAACACTATGAATGGCATCATTTTAAGTAAATGTAAAAAATCAAATGAAAAAATAAAATTGTGAAAATATGACAGACACAAAATAGCTGGTGATTTTATTTTATTTGCTTATTTATACAGATCCTTAGATACGAACAAGTTCAGTACGACAAAAATCTGTCCGTTTTCATTTTAAATAACATCTCCACATGTGCACCTTATATATATATTTATTTATTGCATCCTTCAGATCAGATGTCTACTGTTTCCATCTTTACTTTATAAACTGTCGCTGTTATAACGGTGCAATCTTGAAGCAAATCCCTCCAACTTTCACCATTGGAGGATTTTTGAGCATTTTATACAGCAACACATTATTGCAAAAAAAACTTCCCCCCAAAAAAGTATAAATTACATTTCTGTCCGCCTTTGCTGAGTTACATTCAATAAACCCAAAGTTTTAGTGCAGCTTGGACTTCGTCCTCTTGTTTTCCTCCAGGACAAATTTTGTAAAAGTGCTTTTAATTTGTTTGACAGCTTTAGACCAATCTGAGGATCCCTTTAGGGAAGCAGATTGTAGTTTTTCTATCCAGTAAGTGCTCAGAGGGGATTATTAGCCTGCTCTTAGCAGAGAAAATAATTCATCTTTAACAAAATGTGTCACTGAATTGAAAACAATAAAAAAAGTAAGCATAAATGCATGCATGTATGCACGTGCGCACACACACACAGAGAAAATGGTTGAACACTGACATATTTGCAGCTGGTGCAGAATCTGCATTCCGAGTAATGCTCCAATCTACACTCAACAAAATACAATTTTGAGTATACTTAACCAATTTGTGTCAACTGCTTCTGCTATACCTAGCTGCATGGATGTAAAGAATACTATACAGAGCCTAAAGCCTGATTCATGCTTCTCCGTCTGCGTCAGTGCGGGGACACGCACGCCATTATCCATCCTTGCGGGCCTGCTGGAGAGCTCCGCAAGGACGTACGGAGTCGAGCTCTCTTTACTAAACATCCGTCCGTCGAGACGGACAACGCAACCTTGTGATTGGTCAGGACGCCGCTGTCGTCTACATCGCCGCCATTGCACCCTCAAAAACATAAAGAGAGCCGAGGATAACTAGCGGCAGACACGGAGCAGCTTGAAGAATACCTCGCGAAAAAACTCTAAAACCATGAACGTTTAATTCCCCCGTGACTGGAGGAGTGAAAAGATGCATAGCAAGCGTTTTATTTGTGGACGGAAATGACAGGAAACGTGGGTTTAGAGGTGGCGAGCGCATGAAGAGGTGGAGGATGAGAGACAAATATGTCCGTGTTAAAAAGTCTCTTATATACAAAAAAACACAATATAAACACACCATCTTGGACCGATACATGGGATAGATGCCACAGAACAGCGCTATGCCCTCTGTTGTCCTGGCGGGGAATTGCTTTGCAACACTCCCCAGGAGACGGAAAAGTATGAGAGCAAAACGCTTCCGTCAATCCGTGCGTGTCTGTCCCTTGCGGAGCTGATGGAGAAGCATGAATCAGGCTTAAGTCACACCCATCTAATTCTGGACCATGGGTCCCTAGAAAAACAAAAAAAAAATGGAGTCAATTGAGCTAAAATGACTATTTTTAATTCCATTTGTGTGCCATTGATTTTACATAAGATGTTTGTGAATTTTAAAGACACATTTTGACGCCAAGAATGCACTTATTTTCGAACGTGGGAAATGTTATTTTAGGTTTTGTATGAAAATAAGTCCAGGACTACAAATGTGAATCACCAAATCATCAAACCAGACACGAAAAAAAGCAGAGAAAAAGTTCAATGAACTTTAAATCCTTCCTTCAAGAGGAAAGAACCACCATAAATCTGGCCATTTAGTAAGTAGCAGCTATGCTAGGGGAGAGGAGATTATATGATGATGTCATATATGCGACGTGGCAACGTCTGATTTGTAGTCATGTTAATTACGACCTTTTACAAGCTGATAAATCTCAACGTACGTGACTGGCGTGGTTCGAAACACACAGAATTACTTTAATTTAAACTGAAACAAAACACGTGCGATTCAGGGTGTAAGGCAAAGTGGTTTGGAAAATATCTCTTCTAGCCCCGTTGACTTGCATTCATTTTTTCATTCTTCCAGGGACCCATGAGCCGACCGGAAAGGAAGGAGACTTAAGCCGGGGACACACCAGCCGCCGAAGCCCCACGAAGCGCCGGGAGGCGAAGCGCTCACGAGATTCGGCTGCTGCTCGCTGCTCCTCAGTTCAGACCAGACGCTTGTTTCTCCGCTCCGGTCGAGGCGTGCCTCGTAGTTTTTCTTTTAACCACTTGGTGTCCTCCATTTGCTCTCTGCCTTTTCTCTGCTCTTTTCCTCTACACCCCCCTCCCCCTTGCTGTTTGTGTGTGTGTGAACCTATGGTGTGAACCAGTTAATAGCTGGCCTACGACACGTGGTCACACACACACAAGTTCGCTCTGTGTGTGTGTGTGTGTGTGTGTGGTTTTTATGCAGTGTCTGTTTACGAACACATCTGACTATTGCGGAATTGTATTTTGAAATGCTTTATTTTGTTAAATTTACCGGCCTGCCTCTTATGTCTAGGTTTGACTTCCTGCCAGAATTGACGCGGTTCACCCTCGGCTCGCGAAAAAAATGGAGCAGATGCCGAAACGATCGCTGCACGGCGCGGGCTGAAGCGCCGACACGCGGCGCTTCGGCGGCCCATGTGGTCTATAGAATAGGATAACAAGGGCGCCGAATGAAGGCGGTCCCCTTTTCCCAGCGCTTCGGCGGCTGGTGTGTCCCTGGCGTTAAGCTCCATATACATTGTTATGGTCATGTAAATTAATCCTTAAATTTAGGCAGTATGTACATAACTTGGTTATGTAAATTCAACATTTAATTTTTTACAGTGTAGTTTGACTAAAATATGCATTCATATAGCTAACCTGACATTCAAACTCATCTTTTTTCTCTTTAAATTAAAAGGAAAAGAAGAACAATAATTTTGAGGATGCAGACATGCAGTTGAATATTTTCCAAAACACGTTTGGTTATTTACGCTAAAATCAAAGTTATTTCATTTTCCTGAAGTGTTGTTGACTTAAGTTTTTTTATATAAATTTTGCAAATTGTGTCAAGCTAAGTGTTTTTAGCACTTCACATTATCTTTTGTGATTTTAAGGGAAATATCCAACCAGAAAGATTTTTTTTACTAAAATGCAAACCATACCAAACGAAGACCTTAAAAATATATATTTATATTTTCTTTAAGCTCTACATTTATTTTTTCCTCCTGAATATAAATAAATCCCTGTAAATTTCATGTACCGATTTAAACTGGAAACTTAAAGCAATACAATAAATAGCACAAAAGAACACCAGTAACAGTAATAAGTTTCACTTCAGTACAGCAGTAGCTCTAGTAAATCTTCACATTGTTTGGTAGAAGACAACAATAATCTACAGCTGAAGAAACATCAGACCTGACTGAGAGTTACTCAGTTTTATGAATGTTTTTGTTTGACAAAATAGACAAAATTCGCATTTGTCATTTGCTACATTGCTTCTCTCTCAACACTTCACAGAAAACGGTTCATAAATAACACAGCATCCAAGGTTAAATAAGGCAGGCAAAGAAATAACTCACATATGCGGTATATGGAGATATATTGCACACTTCCAGATATTTTATAAAGATATATAACCTTCCAGTTTCTACACTGTACACTTGCAGCGGCCCAGGATGGGTCAACGTCTTATTAAAACTATTTCCGAAAAGTTGCTCGTAAAGCTTTCATACCTATCATGTCATCGTTAAAGATCCCAACAACTCCAAGTCATTAAAAATAAATACCCCCCTTTTATCTTTTGAAACTTATTCACGTTTTACATGAATAAGTTATTTCCTGACTCAAGACTGAGAATGGTTAATGTAAGGTGATTTGGTGTTGGAGTATTTATGGGGTGTATTTAGTCTCTTCGTGGGTTTTTAAAGTGCAGATATTCAGAGTGAACTTTCTGTGCCGTCACAGGCTGGAGGTCTGCTCCTGGATCGGTGTGTGGTGCGGGGCCGCTTCGCAGTCCTTAGGTCCTTGCTCCACCCCCCGAGCATACATGAGGACGAGGGTGACGGTAGCGAACGTGGCTGCATTTACAGGAAATGCCCTCAGCAGTGTGGACGTCAGGCCCCGAGTGAACACCATGTATCCCTCTCTCCTGACGCTCTGCCGCACGCAGTCAGCGATGCTACTGTACTGATGAACTCCGCCCACCCCGTCTGCTTGGAGCCGTGATTTGATCACATCAACGGGATAGGTGGAGATCCAGGAGGCAATCCCAGCCATGCCCCCGGCGAACAGCAGTTTGGGGATCATGTAGGGGTCATTGGATTCACAGCCCAGGCTGCGTGTCAGTACGTCATAAGACAGGAAATACACACCAAAGCCTGGGGTCTCACGAACCAGCGTGGTCACCATGCCTCGATTTATCCCCCACAGACCTTCCCGTCTGTAAATTCGCACCAAACAGTCCAGGGAGTTCTTGTACATCTTCCTGGAGGACTTCTTCTCTCCAGTGCCCTGCATTTGCATGCGAGTTTTGGCCAGCTCCATGGGACAGCAGATGACACACTGAATGGTGCCTGCAGCTGCACCAGCAGCAAACTGGTGTGTGGGGGTGTCCTTCCCCAACAGGCGCATGGCGTTTCCCTGGACACCAAATACTATGGCATTGATGAAAGCGAGGCCCATCATGGGAGAGCCGATACCTTTATACAAACCAAATACCTGAGTGAAAGGGAGGAGACATCATAACAGGAAACAACACTGTTGACTTTGTAGTAAAGGAGATTTGATGCGATGTAGACTTACCGACTCCTGTCGAATGATGGATTGGAAACAGTGAAAGGTTCCACGATAGAGAGGCCTATTGACACTCTGGACCTGTAGCCTCACCTGGGAACAAAAGGAAAAAATATCACCAATCATTAAATCCTGTAACAGGGGTTTCCCCCAGCGCTTTATAAGCCTGGCGGTCCGCCAGGCTTTGCTTGGCCACCCGCCAGGCTAAGCGCCATGCCCCGCCCCCTTCTCCGACCCTACCATGCCCGCTGACACGAACGGCGCAACGAAACTAGAGCCCTCCATCAGCTAATACTGGTGAGAAACAGCAGTGGAACGTGTGCAACCCCCGCTCTCACAGAAGAGCTCTACAGGACGGAGACACATTCCAAACGTGTCACATCTACATAACAGCCCTGGAGCTCAGGCTACGGACTACTCATAATCCGGTGCTGGTCAGTTCTTCAGCTGTTACCACTGAAAGTTTAAGTGAGGACTGGGCTTATTACACTGAAAACCCCCTTCGCTAATTCAGCTCAACCTACATCACTAAATAATTTACTATGCTAGCTAATACAGCTAGGCTAGCTGTGTGGAGCATGCCTCAAGTGGGAAGGGACAGTCAGAGGACAGTTTGATGGGACGTTCATATTGATAGAATGAGTTCCAGGATTGTACGGTTCAAAATAAGTGGTTCAAATTCATTATTTGTAACAAAAAAATTCCTTAATTGGTTGCCATCTGTATGTGAAGAGCATTTCAAACAATCTGGAAAATAATGCTCCCGAAAAACATCTCCTAGAAGAGTTTGAGACACTCAATCAAAATATAAAACAGCAGGGCTGTGGAAAGAAAAATGTTGCTCGGAAACCTTAAGTATGTTATTTTAACAAAAAACAACTTTTTTAAAAATGTGTGTAGAGATAGACTATTTTTAGCACTTACCTTCACTGTGTCAAACGGATGTCCAACCAAAACTCCAGCTGCACCTAGTGACAATAAAAGTGGTACATTTATTTATCCTTTGATTTTGGTGTTACATATGTAAAAAAGTAAAATAAAAATAAAAAATAAAAACTTTTTTGACTTTTTTACCATGCTATGTCATTTTCTAATGAGAAAAATCCCCAAATCCTTTTCTGATTGCGTTCATGCATTTACAAGCCTCAGATTCTATTTTGTTTTTAAAATTTTTGAAGCCTGCATACAGGACAAAGTTTAAAGGTCAGATGCACCTTCCAGAATATTCTGGCACCAGCCGAGGTTTAAAGCAATCATCCATATGGATCCACTGACAAATTACTTCTGCATTAGGGACAAAATACTACCATAAAACCATGTGTCCTGTCTACACAGACACATGTAATGGCCAGCACAGGATATGTGTTTTAGGTGACTATTGTTTTGTAACAGACTTGGTAGCCCAGTGGTTATGGCACCTGGCAGGTTGTTTTGCACAGGTTCAACTCCCAATCTCAGCAGTAAATGTTTTCTTCTTTTGGGGTGGGGGGGGGGGGGGGGGGGGTGGGGCTACACTTGCCAGAATTATTTTTTCAACAATCTATTTTTAAATTGTTTAAAATATAAGGACTATTATTATTTTCTATTTTTTTACTTTTGTTTATTTAGCCAGTGTGAGTCTATGTGAGGTGAGCAGAGTAAATCAACTAAAATGCTGACTGGAATGGACCAAATTCAAAGACCTTTAGAAAATCAAATTATTTATAATTTAAATAATCAAATAAAAAAAGTTGTGTCTGGTTCTAGTATGTCATATTTCCTAGTTCCTACTGCTAGTATTTCATATTTCCTAGTTCCTACTGCATGAGTTCAGATGTATTAATTTATGCACTTCAATATTAATGTTCTGATTTTATTGAAAAACTCGTTCAATAATAGTTCCTTTACTATTGTGATCAAAAACATTTAATCTCAGTTCTGAGGCTGCTCTGTAAATAGTTTTCAAATAAACAATGCACTAAGCAACTTCTGATCAATCCATATCAATTTCAGACTTAAAATAATGTATTGATGTAAATCACACCCGCTTCCGGTATAGGCCACGCCCACTCAAAGCACAGATACCGATACAGATAATTTAGATGGCTGAACAGATACAGTTACAGATAGTGGCGTACTCGCTCATCCCTAGTGTTTACACTTGTCAGCCTTCCAACATGGCCACGCACATTCCAGAATGTTATGCGTAATCACGCAAGATCACAAGCCCTATAGGAGATTAGTTCGCAGAAAACCAGTCTCTCATGATAACATTTACCAACAAGAACAGAACCAGGCTCTAAACAGTACGTTAAAAACAATTCTGTACAAATAATTTGTAAAACCTAAGGCCGGGAATCGATTAAAATAAATGAACTAATTAATCAAAAATCTGAAAAAAATTCATTGCAATTCTTTTTCTAGAAAAATCCAGCAATAAACATGCAAAAATATACTAGAGAGGTTCATTTTATTTAGAAAGAGCATAACTTGTTGGTGTGTGAAATCACTGAATAATGTCTTTAACAGAGAAAACCTAAAATCAAATCCAGTTTCTGTTCAAAAACATTGTTTGAAAAAGTCTGTTGTATAAACAATGAACAGGAAATAAATCTAGCACATCCTTTGTACGTTCTTGCTGTGGTTGTCTTCAGATTCCATTTTTGGTTATTTTTTTTTAAACACAGATAAGGTTTTTCTTTACCTTGCTGACGTTTCGTTTGCGGCTGCAAACATCCTCAGAGCTAACGCTGATGGTGGCGTCACTTCCCACTCCGTTCATCCGCGGGCAGCAGAGGACGCCATCGTCCTCCGCTGCCTGCCCTCCCCTCTCCGATGATGCAGTCCCATGCGCGATCCAATGAGCAAACTCCATCGTCTCTGTTCATGGTCCCACACCCACGTCTCCTTATCTCGATAGCTTCTTTTATCCATCTTTTGTATTTCTGTTGTTCGGTGTTTATGATCCTTGTGTTGTCCCAGTCCGTTACATAGTTTTCTCTTGTGCAGTGATCTGTTACGCCGTCGCCCTCCGCTGCCCGCCGTCAGAAACAGAAGGCAGTATAGCATTTATGGACATGAAAATAACCAGGCAGACCGACGAGACCCTAAACATAAACACATACAGGAAACCAACACACACAGACCAATATCTATTATGGACATCAGAACACCCTACCATACACAAAATGTCAGTTATCAGAACATTATATCACCGAGCAAACATGGTAACAGAAGAAAGAGACCGTAAACAAGAGGACAAACACATACAACACGCTTTAAAGAACTGCGGATACCCGACATGGGCAATAAACAAAGGAAAACAACAACAGAAAGAAAAGAACAACCTAAGCAAAGAACCAGAAACCCAGAAAGACAAGAACCAAAACAAGTGATAACTAGGGCTGGAGCGAAGCCTCGACGAAGTCGACGGCTCGATTCTAAAAATTTGTCGACGTCAGATCCAGAAGTCGACGCACCGCGCCCACTTGTTGCATCCCCAGGAGTTTGTAAATAGAGGAGGAATCTGCCTGTTCTTCCTCTAGTTCGCCCTCTTCTCCGCCTTCACTAACATCTCCGCCAAATACCGAAGACCCGGAACAACGTCCGTCCACTACTAGATTGTTTTCCTGTTTTGCCCCTTCGTCTCCCGGCAACGGACAACAACTTCCGGGGTCAGATGCGCTGCTTCGTGTCTATCGCAGATGTAGAAAATCACCGGGAGCGTTTCTCCCTTCATAACGGAGCTTCTTTCAGACATGAGGAGAGCTGTTTTGGTGGTAGCAGTCTCTCCTCCGTGCTGGTCCGTTTGCTGCTGGGTGTTTTTGGTTTATTTAAACTTGGTAACTTGAACTTAATGTTGGTAAAGCTACTGTTAGCATCTTCGCTAACAGCTTCTTGCGTTGGGATAAGCTGTTACGTTTTGGTTTAGAGTTAATCTTTTTTGTGGTGTAGATCTCCCTTTTATTACATTTAGAGTGTTGTGGGTTTTCGGTTTAGTGTAAAATACCACCTGAGTTTGGTTTAACCCGTAAGACCACTCGCCTCACGCACATAAGTGACCAAAACAAAGCAGCATGGAGACACTCACTCTTCTACAACCTCTCAGGCAGCAGCCTGCACTCCCAAGTTCTACACGTCATCAGAACATAACCAACCAACACAATAAACGCAGTGTTATACAAAATGGAAGGCCTGTAGTGTTTATTCTCTTACAGTAAGAATTTATCAATTTTTTTTTGAGGAATTTATTTGAGATTTTCTGGTTTTTGTTAATTGTGCAATAGAAAAATAATCATTAGATTAATTTTCTAAATAGTCATTAGAATAGTCGACTATTCGATAAAATAATCGTCAGAATAATCGTTTTAAAAATAATCGTTTACCCCCAGCCCTAGTGATAACCCAACCATACATCAAAGGCATAACAGAAAAAGTAAGAGCAACAATGAAAAAACGCAACATAAACACACCAACAACACCATACACAACAGTTAGAAACAGACTAGTGCACCCAAAAGACAAGATACCAGCAGGACATAAATGTGGAGTAGTTTACGAAATCCCATGCAAACTCTGCAATAAAACATACGTAGGAGAAACCGGACGCCAACTCAACACACGAACAATAGAACATAGAAAGGAGTGTGAGTGTGAGAAAGAAACAAGTCGAAAACACACAAGAGCAGCAAAACAAGAAGCAGAAAGTACAATAAAGATGTCAGCCATAACAGAAATTAGGGATGAGCGAGTACACCACTATCTGTAACCGTATCTGTATCTGTTCAGCCAGCTAAATTATCTGTATCTGTACTCAGAGTGGGCGTGGCCTAACCCGGAAGTGGGTGTAGTTTAGCCGGAAGTGGGCGTGGTTGAAATCGATACGTTATTTTAAGTCTGATCAGAAGTTGCTATGTGTATTGTTTATTTGAAAACTATTTACAGAGCAGCCTCAGATTTGAGATTAAATGTTTTTGATCACAATAGTAAAGGAACTATTACAGAACAAGTTTTTCAATAAAATCAGAACATTAATATTTAAGTGCATGAATTAAGAGAGAGAGAAGAAAAGATCTTTTCTATAGCGCCTCTCAAGATAAAAATCACAGGGCGCTTCACAAAAACAAAACATGTAAAATAGAAAAAAGAATTTAGAAAATGATTAAAATATATTTAAAATGAGCAAAAAATAGACAGTTGTGATTAAAAAATGTAAAGAAAGAGAGAGAGTGAATAGGAAAGAGGGAGTGGATCCTGAGGAAGAGGAGAGAGGTAAAAAAAAACCCGACCGGAGCGGAGGCAGTGACTGACGCAGCACGAGCCGTTTTCAGCTCTGTCTCGTCAAAGGCACCACGTACGTTACGAAAAAAGTAACTTTAAATAACTTTAAAAAGAAGCAAACTGAAGAAAACATAGGGAGTACTGAAGAAACGTAAACAGTGAAGCAAGCACAGAGAGATCCGTTACTGTCTGTGTGTGTGCGTGGATGGACCGGACGCGGACTGAGCTGTGAGCTCTCGGCTGCAGAGTTTTGTGTGTAGGGAGGGGCGGGTGCTCTATTTGACTGGCCAATCACAGAGCATCAGTTACCCAATGAGGATTTTCCTTCAGCACGATTACAGATATTTACAAGTTTTACTCGTTTCATGCTCGTACTCGTCAAAAATGCTTTATCCGTACCGGATACTCGTCTGAAACGAGTATCCGGCCCATCCCTAACAGAAATACAAAAGATGGATAAAGGAAGCTATTGAGATAATGAGATGTGGATGTGGGACCATGAACAGAGACGATGGAGTTTGCTCATTGGATCGCACTTGGGACTGCAAAATCGGAGAGGGGAGGCCAACAGCGTCCTCTGCTGCCAGCGGATAAACAGAGTGGGAAGTGACGCCACCATCGGCGTCAGCTCTGAGGAAGTTTGCAGCCACAAACGAAACGTCAGCAAGGTAAAGAAAAACCTTATTTGTGTTTAAAAAAGGACCAAAAATGGACATTTTAGCACAGTTAGCTTATGTTATCCAATGCAAATGTCATTTTCAACAGCATCAGTTGAACTAGGACTGCCAACTCCCCCAAAAATAAAGAAGGGACACCTCGTTGGCATGGCCCCCAAATGCTTTGATACGGCCCTGGGTGGGACGGAGTTTTGAAGGTGATCTGAATTGTATGGCATATATGAATATTACGAGCTTATAAATATTTATTTTATAAAATTAAAACATGTAGTGGGACAACATTTTCCTTTACAAGCTCTTTGTTTTGTTTTCTTATTAGTTGACTATTAACCTGTCCTGTCTGCATCTCCCTGTGACAGATGCAGGATCTAGTTCTCCAGAAAAAAACGCTGCCTGGCCGCGGCCGTGGAGCTCGGATGACGAGAGCAGCAGCGATGCGTTTCAGCCACGAATAAAAGAAAGTACCAAAGCAGTTATGAACGATCGTGTGTCAAATATATTTTGGTGGCGCCGCTTTGAGAATGTTACTGTGGCCGTGTGCAAGACGCAGATGCCGGTGGAGTGCAAGAGCGCTCTGCCTCTGTTCATCTTCTCCAATCAAAAGACTCCTTGATGCTGAGAGTTCATAATAACTTGATCTTTTTTCTGGCTCAGTAAATTATGGTTTAGACATATTGTCCAGGGGGAAATATCAAGACATTTTGGAGGATGGTGGCTCCGGGTTAGAGAGATGGTCAAATTAATTGCGTCATTTACTTTTAACATGTTAAAATAACAAAATTAACGCTAAAAATTAACGCGCTAATTTTCCCGGCCCTAGTAAAAACAAAAAGAACAGAACAGTCAGTAAATTACACTAGGCAGCACGACCCTGGCTTCACTCCCTGTTCAGCTGCTCTAAGCCAAGAACATGGGGCTGCATGGTGGCGCAGTGGTTAGCACTGTTGTCTCGCAGCACGAAGGTTGCAGGTTCGAAACTCGGCTGCGGCCTTTCTGCGTGGAGTTGCGTGTTCTCCCCATGCATGCGTGGGTTTCCTCCGGGTACTCTGGTTTCCCCCCACAGATCACAACATGCCCTATAGGTTATAAATTGTAAGTCGCTTTGGATAAAAGCGTCTGCTAAATAAGTAAACATGAACATAAACATGCGATTTGTGTACATCACATGTGTCAGATACAAGGCCCACAGGCCGGATGTGGCACGCCACATCATTTTATGTGGCCCGCGAGAGCTTCGAGTGTCTTAAAATACGTCTATGCTGCTTCAAAGTATACATTGGCTATAAACTACATTTCCCATAATGCTTGGCAATCGTGTTCCCAGTGCAGGGGCAGTATTTCGCCACTCGGTCGCAGTGTATCCAAATTCGTGTTTACTTAATGCAACAAGTGAAAATAACTATCCACAAATTATCCCAAAATGTCCAGGAAGAGAAAGATTGATGCAGAAGGAAGGTGTTTCAACAAAGATGGCACATGTTTATGCTTCAAGGAGAAAAACCGGTATCTTTACAGTCATTAGCGCCCCTGCTACTCGTATCAGCGTCTGCAGCGGTACCATCCTCCGCATTGGACAAACTGAAAACACTCCTCTTACTCAGCACCGAGTTTAATCAGCAATTTGCCGACTTTGAAGCCCAGAACTGGATTTGAACCACTCAGTAATCTGTTTGCTGCTGACAGAAAGTGCACCGACCAACTTCCAGACCGAGATGATTTAACGAAACTCAAGTCTCAAGTATGACTCTATGGGTGCTGCAGTGTTTATCTTTCCACACTGACACAACTGCATGGTCCAGCTGCTCAGATGCTCTCCATGTTCAGCAGCACAGACTTATGTGAGCAACTGTTGTCTGTGATGAAGATGAACTAGACAACACAGGAGTCTCACTGATGAACCCCTTCCTCAGCTCAGAGCTGGAACAGGTGAGCATCACAGTAAATTAGACTGGTGCAAACAGAGCTTGCATATGTAACCCAGAAGCTAGAACCTTAATGAGGTATTAACTAATTGGCTTACTAATATGATCCATCCTCAATTTAGATAAAATATAAAATATAAATTAAGGAAATTAACAATACTAATTAATAGATATCTAATTAACTAATAGATAATTTCATAATGAATTATTGGAAGGGTGAATAACTAAAATAACGAGTTTAATATTAAACATCGGTTAAAACAAGAATCTTGAACATCACTAACAGAAACAGAAGAGGAAAGCTGTATACTATTGGTCCAGGTGGGAATCTGAAATTTCATTGGCCGAGAGAAATAAGTCCCGCCTCCGCGAAATAAAACCGTGCGACGCAGCTGAGCGAGAGGAGAGACAAACGGCTGTGCAGCACGCAGATACAGAAAGCAAAGACTGAGCGGTTAGAGAGAGAGAGAGAGAGAAAAAAAAACAACGGTCGAGGCCGTGAAGAACCCTGATTTGGGTGCCGCATAGATAGAGGGAGAGGCGGACTTGACTCCTTCTAATAAGAGCTAGGAACTTGGAACCAACGCGGTGAGTAAAGAAAAAAGAAGAGAAAAAGCTAACGATGCAACTTAAAAAAAAAAGGAAACTTAAATAGCTTATCAAATTAATTCCATTCTTATAGATTTGTGTGGAGACGACAGAGTGAACCAATCCTCTGTAGGAGGGAACCGTTGGAGCGCGTTGGTGAGTGAATGAGATTAAATTCAGTAAATTATTAAATTCAAAAAGCTAATTACAGCAACCGAGGTGACAGCAGTGGGCTGCTAGACGTTAGATCCCAGGAGTTAACATCTCAAACTACCAGTTAACGGTGGTAGGGCATATAGGAGTTAACGGCTCAAACCGCCAGTTAACGGCGGTAGGGCATATGGGATTCCCAGGAGTTAACGGCTCAAACCGCCAGTTAATGGTGGTACGGCCTAGATGTACAAGGTCCTCAAGGGCGTTATAGCTAACGCCATAGAATTAGCAATGCGTCCCTTAACCAAACATTTAATAATAAAAAAAAATAGATAAATAAAAATAAATAAAAGCTAACTGATTAGGGAGGAATTATTTTACAAAGGTGGACCAAAGGACCAGAATTTATATTTTGTTGAATTTTGTTATAGAACATTTTATTTATTTATTTATTTATTTATTTATTTATTGTGTTACAGATATACAAGGTGTCACAATGCTGTATAGAAACACAACTAAATGTATCCTTGTTGTCATGAATGTATTTCTTGTTGAATAGTGTAGAGTAATAGAATCTAACTGAGCCTACTGAGCTGAACAATTGTTGTCATATGTAATTATATTTCCAGAGCTACTGAGAATTATTTTAATAGACAATCAAATTGATGTTATGTTAGTTGAACTGTGAACCCAAACATGATTGGCTATGCCAATAGAGTGAAGCATTTGTTTAAGTCTGTAAGACTTTATGCTGTGATGTGACGAGAAGGGTCGATGCCAACTCGCTAACAGTCCTGTTGTTTACAGGCTGTTTTTTTTTTTTTTTTTCCTTGGGTTTGATCCCGACTCCTATGATCACTCACTTGGAACGAGAACTGGATTTCTTCCTGACGAGGGAGATGGCGAGCCTTAACCACTGAACGAACCAGGACATCTCAAGTAACTGAAGAGCAGACTGCTCTCTTCTGTGAAAAATCTCAACGGTGTGGTAGGAAAAAATCGCACCACCGGACTCTGACTTTCACCCCAAGCGTGGGGATTTGACTTGACGCCGGCTGACTTGTGACTCATATGATCAAATCTCATACCGACCAATTTACTATTGTCGATTGTTTTCATCTGTTTTTGTGTGTTATCTTTATGTGTTATATTTCCCATTATTATTAAAATTTAGTATATAAACCGTTTCATGCTATACCCGTGACTCCAGTCATTCTTAAACAACCTCCAATTCTCCCCGAACCTAATTATTGGCCCATTTGTTTATTTTTTCTTTTAATTATCTTATTGTATCCTGTAATCCGGTTACATAAAACTTGGCGAGCCAGCCAGGAGAATTGTAGAGTTGTTACCTTAGCTAACCATTGACTGACATCATAAGAGTGCCTGGAGGTCACAGTGGTTTGCCATTTTGGCATTATTGGTACTTTTGAGTGTTTTAAAATGGAAGTTGTGAAAACAGAAAAGGTCAAAGTTTCAAATGCTGTTTTAATCAGTGGGTTAACTGATACAGACCTTGATAACGAAGTCTTTGGGTTTATGGAAGGATTCGGACCAGTTAACAGGCGCATTAAGTTACCAAACTGTGATCAGATTATTGTGGAGTTTCAACATGAAGCCACTGTTAAGGAATTAAAGAAACAATGTTTACCCTATGACAAACCTTGTACTAGGAACCCAGATGTTTTCTTTCATATTCAAGACCTAGCCAGCGCGTACAGTCTAGAAACTAGCACATCTGCCACTGATGCCTATCTGTCAGAGCTCAGGGACATAGCTGCACGTAGCAATCAATCATTTAAAGACCTTCTAATGGAGGAACTGGCAAAAATTGGGGAATCTTTAGGAAGGGATACCCATGCATCTGAACCAGTCACTGAACCAGAGCCAATGCTCCATAGTGACCAAGTTACATATTCCCTGCCTTTAACACCAGAAGTTAACTATATGAACAACTCAAAGGACAATTGTCCACCTACAGAGACTGGAAAACAAAACCCTTGCATTCCACCAAATCTTTTAAACACACCTGAGGTTCAGCGAGTTATTGTGGAACACATTGTTAAAAGCAGTGAGGTTATCCCTCCGCCTACTTCACAATACAGACTAAAACCGTTCTCAGGGCGAGTTCCACACCCTTCTTTTGAAACTGACTATGATACTTGGCGTAGTAGTGTAGTGTTATGCATAAATGATCCTTCACTCACCAAGTCCCAAATTGTACGAAGAATCGTGGAGAGTCTGTCAGCCCCAGCAGCGAGCATCGTTAAAGCTCTTAGTCCAAAATCCGACCCGGAAACGTACCTTGAACATCTCGATTCAGCTTACGCAGCTGTCGAAGACGGCGACGAGCTCTTTGCTCGCTTCTTAAACACAAACCAGGACAGTGGTGAAAAACCTTCCGATTACTTTCAGAGGTTATACACCTTGTTAAACCTAGTTATTCAGAGGAATGGAATTTCCTCCAGTGACGCCGACCAGCAGCTGCTCAAGCAGTTTTGCAGAGGCTGTTGGGACAGCTCGCTGATTTCAAACCTGCAACTCGAACAAAAGAAAGACAACCCGCCTCATTTTACAGCACTTCTCCTCAAACTGCGCACTGAAGAAGACAAACAGGCTACTAAAGCAGCACGCATGAAACAACACTTAGGGGCACAACGAACTAGAGTGTATTCAAATGTGCAAACAACATGCTCTCAGAGTAAAAACACTTGTGAACTGGAAATAGATGATAACTGTGATGACTTACGCAAACAAATCGCTGAGCTCAGGAGCCAAATTGCACAGCTTAAGGTTAACAACACAGATAAAAAGGCAAAGAAAACTCAAAAAGAGTCAAAACCCCGTGTGGGGACTAAAATTCCAGATGAGCCCAAACAGATTCAGCAGATAACAGCAGTGGTGCCCAGACCAAAGCCTGGATACTGTTTTAAGTGCGGAGAAGATGGGCACATAGCTTCTAGCTGTAGCAACGAGCCAAATCCAGCACTAGTTGCAACTAAAAGACTTGCTCTTAGACAGAAGCAGCGCGAGTGGGAGATGTCAAAGCCAATTGCTCAGTCTCCTCCTTTAAACCGGTAGAAGCTCCTATCGTGGGACAGATAGGTGCTAAAGTAGAACCAAGTCCCTCTAAGGAAAGGACAGAGAGACTTTTTTGCAAGCCAGTTCATGCTCATTCAGTGCCAAAACTTCCCAAAAGATTAGTGGGTGGGCGATGCACAGCTACAGTCTCAGTTAACAGTGTTGAATGTAATTGTTTACTGGATTCAGGGTCCCAGGTAACCACCATTGCCAATTCTTTTTACCAAGAACACTTACCTGACCTCTCAATTAAACCCATCAGTAATCTGTTAGAAGTCGAGGGCGCAAACGGTCAAGCAGTTCCTTATTTAGGATACATAGAGATAAGTGTCACATTTCCAAAAGAGCTCGATCAGTCTGGACTTGAGTTACCTACCCTTGCGTTAGTGGTTCCGGATATAAGCTCAAACTCTGATACACCACTACTCATTGGCACAAACACACTCGATCCTTTGTATGAGCAATTGTCTGCCAATAACTTACCTGATTCCAAGGCACTCTCTTATGGGTACCAACACGTGCTAAAAGCCTTAGCAGTCAGAAAAAAACAAAGCAAAGATGGACGAGTTGGTGTGGTGAAGCTTCGAGGGAGAACCCAAGAAGTTCTCCCTGCAAATAAAAAACTGTTACTAGAAGGGTTTATGCAACCCAGCCAAAACAAGCATGAGCCTTATGCACTCATTGAACAACCCACCAATGGTTCTCTACCAGGGGGTATAATTGTAGACTGTTGCCTCATTTCCTTACCTTCACATGGTCCATACAAAGTACCTGTTGTACTAAGAAACGAAACTAACCATGACATCACATTACCCACTAACTGTGTGATCGCTGAATTAGTTAAAGCCGATCGTGTTATGCCATATCCAGAACCTGACAAAAGTGATCAGAAAGTACTTGCGGCGTGTAGTTCGCAGCAACAGACTTCACCTTCAAACCCTCCTCTCAGTTTTGACTTCGGTACTTCGCCCTTGTCCGAAGAATGGAAAGGGAGGATCACCAACAAACTTAACACTTACTCCGATGTGTTTTCGCACCACGATCTTGATTTTGGTCATACACAACAGATAAGACATCACATCAACTTAAAAGACGAGACCCCATTCAAACAGAAATCTCGGCCGATCCATCCACATGATTATGAAGCCGTGAGAAAACATTTGGAAGCCCTCTTGGAAACCGGTATAATAAGAGAGTCGGAGTCTCCATTTGCCTCACCAATAGTGGTAGTTCGGAAAAAGAATGGTGAGGT